TGCTGCTGCTGCTGCTGCTGCTGCTGCTGCTGCTGCTGCTGCTGCTGCTGCTGCTGCTGCTGCTGCTGCTGCTGCTGCTGCTGCTGCTGCTGCTGTCTGAGGGCGGGGAGGTGCGAAGACCCGGTGTCTCGGCGCCAGTGTCCGCCGGGAGAGATGGCGAAGGCGGCGAAGGCGGTGCGCCAGAGTCCCGAGAGCCCATCCCGGATCCGGATGCTTTGAGCACTTGGGACCTGACCTGGGAGGCCAGTACCTTGGGCCTCGCCGGGGAGGATGACGCTTCGTCCGAGGACAAAACAGGAGCCGCGGCCCGGGAGCGGTCGCGCCTCAGCCGAGACACTCGGTCAGACAACGGGCCGACCGTGTTGTCGCAGAAGAAAATTGTCTCATTGAATTTGACTATCGGCTGGGACTTGCGCGTGGGAAGCTGTGAAGTGAAGGGCGTGGGGAAGGGGACCACTGGAGACGAAAAAGCGAACAGTAGAGAAGGACGGTTAGGGGGGGGGGGGGTGAGGATATTCCGGCCGATCGATTGATCGACGGAGAACGAGGAGGGAGAGGGGGAAGGGGCGGATTGGACGGGCAGCTTACAAGCGGCAGCATGCCGCGCCGTGACGGCCCGATCCGCGGGAGACACGAAGACCCAAAATAAAAAGGCATCAAGTGCACAAGGTGCGCGACATGACGCACGTGGAGTGTCCTTGGCTGATTCAGACAACATGGCAATCAGGTTGGATGAGTGGATGCTGCGAACGGCGGACGGGGCGCTGGGGCTCGGCGGCGCCGTGTAGTCGGACACCGGGAATAGCATGCCATCGAGCGACCTACCGGACGAGGGGGACAGCCCGGCTCCGGGGTCAAGGCCCGCGAACTTCGAGGGGGATGCAGTACGCTGTGAAGAGGGAGTGCCCATGCGCGAGGGCGATGATGAGGGTGAATAGGGACTCCGGTTGAGGGAGGCAAAGAGACGATTCGTGCGAGTGGGAGACTCGCCGATGGTCCGGCGAGGGCTGCTGCCCGTGCTGGACACCTCCCCCGCTGATGAGGTCGCCCTCGGGCCAGCTGGATAAAAGTCCCTGTGCGCCGATTCCGAAAGCATCTCGGCCGCCGAGATGGACGCGCGCATCGATGAGAGGACCTTGGAGGTGCCAACTTCGGACCGCGGACAGCCGGAGCCCGGGCTGGCCGAGAGGATGATGTCTGCCTGTGAAATCGGCATGTCCCTGGACGGAAGGACCGCAAAGCCAGAGGGTGCTTTCGGGAGGACATCCGCCCGGAGGCCAGCAGACAGGGACCCTTGGTTGACCGAATCCAGCTCCTCAATGTCGATGATGACCGGCTGCGAGTTGACATCATCCGGGCTGGGGATCGAGGGTCGCACTGGTGCAGAAGCTGGCCGGGGGCTCGGCGACGAGGCACGGCCAGCCGGCGGATTGGTCGTCGAATCGCCACTGCCAGGTGTCGGAGCCGACACGCTTGGAGAAGGGGGAAGGATCGAACCGCGAGCAGCCACCGGCATACTGACAGAGGGGGCTACGGAAGGCGCGGCCGCTGTGCTGGCAGTGGGTGTGGCTGAGGGGCCGGTGGGCGGCGAGTGGGCATACAAAACGGCGGAAATCGGAGCCCGCGAGTTGACAGCCACCGGGGAAGATGGCTGTCCCGATCGCTTGAGGAAGTCGCCGAGAGGCACACCCGGCGAAGGGGTTGGTGGTCCGGCGGGAGCGGCAGCGGCAGGAGCAACCGCAGGAACAGCGAGGGGCTGAGACCCAGCGGGAGCCTTGGGAACAGCGGCGACAGGGGCCGCCACAGGGGCAATCGGAGAAGAGGGAGTTGCGGCGACCGAGGGGGCCTTGGGAGTAGCAGGGGGGACAGATGTGGCGGCCTTGGCCGGAGCAGTGAAGGCCGTGCCTGCGTTGGGGACTGCGGCAGGGGCGCCGGTCGATGCCAAGGCGGCCGATGGTGTGGCTGGCGACGCGGGGACCGGAGCCTGCGGGGGAATCGCCAACGGCGGTGCCGATGCGACTGCCGACGCGGCTGCTGACTTGGGAGGCCCGTCATGGCGGCGAGAGGCCGCCGCCGTGGCACCAGGCATCGGATGGATCTGAGATTGCGCAGCAGTGGCGGCTGCTGCTGTGGTGGGACTGGGAGAGGCAGCCCCAGCTGGGGTTGCGGCAAGTGTGGCCTTGGCGGGGTTGGCAATGCTTGCGGCCGCCGCAAGCAGTATCCTGGCCGATGGAGAAGCGTCGAAGCCGTGCATGCTGGGGGAATGGGTGCCGCGAATGGTATCACGGGCAGCTGCTGGGGTAGTAGGGGCTCCAAAGGCGGCCACGTTGCAGACGGGCGCCGCCCTGACCGTTGCCGTAGCCGCAGCCGATGACGATGACGATGATGATCCCGCAGCCGATGACGATGACGATGATGATCCCGCAGCCGATGACGATGACGATGATGATCCCGCAGCCGATGACGATGACGATGATGATGTCGATGATGATCCCGCAGCCGATGACGATGTCGATGCCGATGCAGCAGCCGATGACGATGTCGATGCCGATGCAGCAGACAATGCCGGTGTCATCACGGATGCCGGTGCCGCTGCCGCTGTCGTTGCTGAGACTCCCGCCTGCCGGGGAGGGACAGAAGAGATGAAAGGTGAAGAAGGACGAGCATCGGCCGATGTCGAGGCAGAAGCTGGGGTCACGAATGGCAACCCACCGGGCTTCGAGGGGGGATTTGGGTTCGAAGCCACCGCTGACAATGTGGCCCCGGAGGCAGGGGCCCGGGAGATGAAGGGCATGGAGTCGGCAACGGTTGCCGGGTCGGAGGATGCCACAGACGACGACCGTACGGCCGGGGGTGGGTTGGAGCCCGCCGGCGTGGGCACTGGCTTCCTCGCGGGAGATGATACCGACGAACCCGATGCGACCGACGTGACTGGTGTGGTCGATGGGCTTTGGGTAACAGGCGCAATGGGGGGAGCCGGTGCCGGGGGCGCGGCTGACATTGCTGGGGCCGTGGCACTTGCTGGGGCCGTGGTTGCCGCAGAGGATGTTGGTGCCGCGGAGGATGCTGGTGCCGCGGAGGATGCTGGTGCCGCGGAGGATGCTGGTGCCGCTGGGGCTGCCTGGTTCATCGGCGCCGCTGGGGCTGCCTGGTTCATCGGCGCCGCTGGCGCTGCCGGCGCTGCAGGACGTGCTGGCGCTGGCGCCATCGGGGCTGCTGGTGCTGCGGGGCCAGGCCGGCTGCGATGCGGCATCGCTGGTGCCACTGGCGCCACGGGGGTGCTTTGGGTCGGCGGCGCCGTCGGGGCTCTCGAGGAGGTCGGGGCGACCGGAGACTCCGACCCCACGGAGTACCCCGAGTGTGTCGAGGAGTGTGCATTGGGCGCCATGGTCGAGGCGTTGGGCGTGGCGGAGGAAGGCCCGGAGATCGAGGAAGGGACACAGGGACCCAGCGCCGGCGACACATGCGTGATCTTTCGATGATAGTTGACAAGTATGGAAGAGGCGGCGGCCGTGGTGAGGAGCACGAAATGACGGAGTGTCAAAAATTCCCCCTCAATGCCGTGGCAAAGGCTCGAAGACACGGCAAGGCCAGCGGCCGCCATCAGAGCCTGCAGAACTCTGTATGGATTGCTGCATGCCACAGACATGAAGCTGAGAGTTGCCTGGTGGTAGAAGCTGGTGGCGAGCTGCGATGCCAAGCCAAGGACCGTGGCCCTGTGCTCGGGGGAGACGGCCAGAAAGTCGCACATGCAGTCGGTGGTCAGGACGACCGCCGCTGTGATGGAGGTCAAGCGAAAGGCCTGGTTGCGCGGGCCCATCAGCAGGTCCATCCCCACCATCGAGGCGGCGACCGCCGCCGAGGAGATGATCACCACGCGCATGCTGTGGATCAGCTCGCATTTGAGAATCCGCGCGACAACCCGAGGGATCAGATTTTGCAGGATGCTCGGCGGCAGGATGCCCAGCGATCGCGACTCGAAGAAGACCGTCACCGAGGCATTGATGGCCAGGCGAAAGGCGGCGGCGGTTCTGTTGCAGGGATGTTAGCCGGCCGGTGACAACGATTGAGAAGGCCGGGAGGGGGAGGGGGGGAGGCAGTCGGGAATGTTGGCGCACAGGGCGGCGGAAGTCGGGTCTTTTGGGAGGGACGGCGATGTGGACTGCTGCGCCGTGGCAGGGGCGGCGGGAACAGGGCCAGAAGCCCCAGTCGGGGGGGTGGAGTAGGATTCCGGCCTGGGACCGGCTGGAGCCGCAGGCCCAGGGGGGCGGGGGGGGCCTGCCGCGTTTTGCATGGTACCGATGCTTGAGAAGGGACAAAAGAGCGGCCGCGCCGGGGAGCAAGGGGCTTAGGTGGGGAAAGGGAACGGGATGGGGTGGAAGGGAAGGCAGTAGGGGGGGGGGGAGGGGGGGGCGGTTGAGGGATAGCGTGAAGGACGGAGAGGGGGCTACAATCGGGGAACCGCAGGCATTTGGCGGTTGCTGGGCCCTTGGTCGGTCGATCTGCGTGGAGGATGGGGCCGGGCTGCCGTACGACGGGGATGTGCCAGACACCAGGGAACGGGGGGAGATCGGGTAGTGGGAGAAGGCGAGCCGGGCGCGCGCGCGCGACCGGGCGGACCGAGATCTCGACACTTGTGTTGAAGAGGACGCTGGTGGCGGACAGTGGAGGGATGTCTGTCAAGGGGGCCGGGCGCGGGCAGTCGGAGGGGGCTAGAATGGCATAGCCTGGCGCCTGTGAGGTCTGCTGCTTCTGGGTGTGGTGTTTTGTGGCTGGTGGGGGGAGGGGGGCGGGGAGGGCGAGTGGTCGGCAGGACCAGCGGGGCGGGGCGGGGGGGGGGGAGGGAGAAGCCGTAGACAAGAAGCATGCTGGGCTGGCAATCGGCTGCTGTTAGATGGGGCGGTGGGCCAAAAGGGCCTCCCAGCCGGAAGATCGAGCAGCTGGCCGGGTGTCCGGCGCCTGGATGCCAGGGGGTAACCACCGGGAGAGGGGCGCGCGAGAAAATCGGCTGCAAGCATGCCTGTGCGTTTGTGCGCGCGTGTGTCTGTTCACGCATCCATGGATGTGTGTGTGTATGTGTGTCTGCGAGAAAGAGCGGGGCACACAAAGGGGGGAGCGCCACAGGAAAGTCGATTCAACTGTTGGGCCCCACCCCGGGAGAATCCCCCCATCCGCAAGGAGTGGCACCAGAGACCACGGTTCTCACGACGGACAGACCACATCGAGCTGGGGGAAAAGGGAAGCGTGGTCGCCCGGGGTTTGACTCTCAGGGAAAAAGCCCTGGATCTTGGAACTCCCTGGCCCAGTTAGGCTCAGCCTCGCGGTCTGCACACACAAGAAGCGGGGGCGAGAGAAATCGAAGGTGGGGGGGTGGGCGAAAACGAGAGCGAGAGAGAGAGAGAGAGAGAAAGAGAAAGACCAGATACCAGAATATCTGGTTGGGATGGCCCAAGAGAACGGGGACAGCATGGTAATGTTGGCCCCGAGAGGCGAGCGACACCCAGCGGTATAGGGGCAGGCTCCCCACCCTTCCTCTTGTTCCCGCCCAGCGGTATAGGGGCAGGCTCCCCACCCTTCCTCTTGTTCCCGCCCAGCGGGGGGGGGGGGGGGGCGGCGTGTGCTCATGCCAAAACTGTCACCGTGGGGTAGGGAGACAAGGGGTGGCCACTTTTCGGCGGGGCGTTCTCGCCGCCTTGTGGCCCAAAGAAAACGGCAAGACTCCCAAAGCCATGAGGACGCCGGATTCGAGGAGTAAATATACAAGGAAATATCGTTATTCCCGGGCTGGGGATGAAATATTTGGTACCAATAAAGTACATTTTTCCCTGGGCGGAGTATGGCTCACGCCCTTTCCGAGCGCCACCGACACCCCCCCCTCCATAACCAGGCAATCGCCCAGGGGACGGCCACCTGCCCGGCCCCCCGCTGCGTCGCCCCGACCTGCCGCCCTCCCCGCCCGGGGCGGGCCAATGATGCGCATTCGTTGGCACTTATGCATGTGATGGGCTCGATCAGGATTTCATGCCCATTTTCGCCGACTCTTCCTCGCTCCTCCAGGCCGAGCGCATGCTAGGGGGCCACTGGCAGCAGGGAGCCGGGGCAGGGGGCGGGGGGGGGGGGGGGGGGGGGGGGGGGGGGGGGGGAGTAAATCGGAAGGGGCGAGCAGGTGGGGGTGGGGGGGGGGGGGGGGGGGGGGGGGGGGAGGGGGGGGGGGGCGGGGGGGGGGGGGGGGGGGGGGGGGGGGGGGGGGGGGGGGG